TCCTTTAGGGGAACTTCTAGACAAAAAGCCTGGTGTTCAGTTAGTTGAAGGGGTTCAAGGACATACGGGAGATTATCTTCAGCAAGAGGCGGTCCTACGGATTCGGGTGAAGCCTCGACTGTTGTGAAATGTATCAATTCACAACCTTGCTCATCAGTGATACCGGATTCCTCTTGGGCCATAAACAAGTGATCACTGGCAAGCCCATCATCAGAATCGGGCACTGGGATGTCTTGGGGCTGAAGAGAGGTCTCGGGAGGAGCAGTGCCAAGGACAGAATCTGAAGGGGCAGCGGTTCCTGACAGAGGATCGCGCTCAACTCCAGATGCTTCCTGACTTACCTGCGGGGTTAACTCTTGTTCAGGTTGAGGAACTTCTTCTAGAGGGCTGGTGGAAACGGGCTCTACGGCAGTGGAAGCACCTGGCTGAGGCATGAGAACGGCAGTCTCGGACACAGGCGGAAGGCTGGCAGCACGTACAGACTCCGAAGGTTCCTGACTTGGTGAACCAGTAAGATCGAGGAAGGTACTCGCCCCTCCAACATTCTTCAATGGCTCTTCCAACTGGCTGTCTGACAAATGCTGCCATTCGCGAAGAGACGCAGGTCTCAAGTTCTCGGGTGCCGCTCTTATGATGTTGGTTCCATGAGCTAGCCAAATCACTGACTTGCCTTCGCTGCAGATTACTTTCGCCGGCCCATGCCAGCGACCAGCAGCGAGCCTATTTGGTGACGATTTCTTAACCCAATACAGAACCCACATGCCCGCAACAAACGGTCCCCGAGATGGATTACTTCGCCGGAGTGAGGCTCGACGAATGGCCTGGGAGTTGTCGGCATCCATGAACGCGCGCCGGGCCCGACACCGTAACTCTAGCTTTTGACGAAACATTTCGGATTCAAGATCGGTGCCTTCGGTCAAAGCGTGCGCCGGGGCTTCTTCGTCGGAAGACACACTCCCAGGAACACGGAGAGACTTCCCGAACACAATCTGCTCTGGAGAGAACCCTCCATGCCGGATCAAAGAATTTTTCGCTAAAACAGCCTGTTGAAGGACCTGATCAAATGCAGTGTCATTGACAATGGGACTCTCAATGTCCAGGCGAGCAAGCATGTCCTTCAGGATGTCTCCGTGCCTTTCTAAACGACCTCGCTGCCAGGCTGCGGCCGTCACCCAAGTCCGCGTGTTCATCTGTTGAAAGAATTCTAGGATTTGTTCCGATCGGAACTCGCCGGCGGGATCTAGATACACCTGCTTAGGAGGCCCTGCCCAGCTAATCCACATGTCATTTAGTACTTGTGCGGCTTGTTGTCCAAGACGACTTGGAGTTCGGCGGGCCTGTTGAAAGCAGCTGGCTTCATCAAGAACATGTAAAATATAGGTCCTATAGCCTGATTTACTCTTAAAGAAGAAACCATCTACCCCCATCATATCATTGAAATCTCTGGGCTCGGGAAGCTTGCCTGGCCTTTGATGCCGTGGCTCGGTCGATTCCAAGCATACATCGCACTGAAAGTCCAACGCAGCGTCCACCAAAGCTGTTTTCTCCCCTGCTGCCTTTAAATGGCGGGACAAAGTCTCTGGTGCAGGATGACCAAGGTTATTATGGATTCTACGAAGGCGGGTCTTATCCTCTCGGGTCAGACTTCGGAAGGCAGGGCCATGAAGAGGCACCGGCGGAGGGCCCCAACCCTCCAGGTCGGGGGCCGTCGTGCGATTGGATTGCACAGAAGTGGGCTCAGCAGTGGAGGTTTCCGTGCTGTCAGACGAAATCTTCTGAGCAAACACAGTCAGCATAAAACTTGTGGGTGCAATCCGCTGGCGACGACGCTCGCTCGGCATCGTGGTGCGATCGTCCGTGCCCAGGCACTGGTACATCATGTTACCCTGGGAATCCAGTCGAGAACACAGGGTGATGCGCCAAGGCGCCACGGGAGGGGGCAGTGCACCGAGAGGATGATGCAGACTTTTACCACCTAGGGCTGCAAAGACTTGAAGCACTTGATATTGAGGCAAAGCCTGACTAATGGCTGCTATCACGTTATGCTGCGGGGGAACAAGTATGGGTGTTACCTTGGTGGCACAGCTTTGGGCGGATTGAAAAATAGGTTCCCACACAGGCACAGACAGATCGGTGATTTCGTGCACGGGCTGCTGCAACGGAACATCCAGACGGCGACGCACTTGGTCGCGCTGGGAACACTCCTGCGCATTATCATCTGCTGCACGTTTCTGGCTGGGAAGGGTATTTACTGCTTGGCCTAACCCCGAGGACGTCTTAAACCTTTTACGGGTCATGGGAAGTAAACCTTCTAGGGCTAGGGCTTGCTCCTTGGTATTTGGCAGCAGATGCTTGGCACAGTGCTCAGCGAAGCCACGACAAAAGGTCCCAGCGTACTGGGAAACACTTGCTCCCTTCAACTCTCGCAGCGTACCCGCAACGGGCTGATGTTGCGGATGACCCGGACACTGTTGGCTTCTTAAGCTTTGTATAAAGGCTTCATTCGTGCTTACTACATGGGTAGCTTTGCGGATGGGTCGTTGACTCAAGGGAGTTTTCAAACCAAACGAGCAAAGATCTACATTCGCTCGGTAAGCATTTTGCAAGATTGGTCGAAGCGTGGCTTCCTTTAACATCTGCGAATTTGCGGGTTGTTCAAAATGAAAATCATGTCCTTGTTGCTTCTGCCACTCAAAGATCTTTACAAACAGTTGGAACAAGGTTTGCTGTGATTGTCGTCCCTGAAGAAGTTGATGCTGGTAACGAGAGTTCCGGGCAGCGTTGAGACAACTCCACGCGCTCCACAACTTCGCATCAGGAGACAGCCAAACACGTTTCGGGCGAGTACGCTGAAGCAGATCCCACAGCTCTCTCTGGCATTCTACAGAAGTCAAATCACTCGGGGAACCTGGAAATCGTTTAGCCTTTCCACCTGCATCTATCACTACTCGGGTCAGGAGGCTGTCCGAATGGGCACTGATTTCAAGAACATCAAGCTGAGGTTCGAGGCTCTGCTGGTATGTCAACAGCGAGTCTTGGAACACGTCCCATGTGGCGGTCTGGGCTCTGCAGAATGCATCAACACAGGCATGCGCGGCTTCCAATGATGCGGGCAGCAGATCTGATTCCTGAACACATGGCTGAGCTAACATTAGCTCCTGACGTAAGGTCGACACCGTGGGTTGGGGAGAGGCACTCATGACCTTAGACGATGCACTTAAGGAATCCACGCTGTCCTGGGCCTTGATCACCTCGGATATGGGGAAACCCAAGTCCTCTAAGTGCTTACGGTCAGGAATCGTTAGCTTGCCAGCAGCATGAAGAGAGAACGCAACCATCAGGGTGCGATCCCCGGTCCATGGCATTGACGCATGCCACATGTGCGGGTCAAGCAGCATGGAACTTCTCAAGCTCTGTAGGGACCCTTCTATCTTATTCCCATTGCATTCCCTGGTGCATACCCTTTGTTGGCCTTCGGGTGGTTTTGCCACCCAGATTTCACCTCCTGCTTTCGGAAAGTCTAAGGGAACTACCAGGTTGGGGAGGACCTTAGAGTTGTAGCTGTCACGATGGGGCTCAACGGATGTGTTACAGGATATTGCAATTGTCGTAAAGGAATGTTCGGGCTGTGTCAGCTGGATGACCTGAGCTAGCAGTTTGGTCAACCACGGAAAGCGTTGGGTGACCTGGGTTTTGCCAACCACCCCGCCGTGCACAAACATGCCAAACATGACATAGGCTCCTGGGCGAGTGTGATCTCCTTGGGATGATGCGGCGATGGTTCGAGAACTGGGGCGAGGCTCCTTAAGAAGGTACCAGGGAATCTTACGAAGCAGCCTTTTACATTCAGCTATATCACCCTTATTTTCAAGTAACTCTTTAGCTGCAGGCTCAATCCCTTCTACCTCCATAGTACCAGGCTTACAGGCACCCGAGGAGATCAGAGCACTCAGCTCAGCACGGCAAGCCTCTACTTCTCGGGTGAGGCGTTCGGGGAGCTCGTCACAGCACTCAGATGCTGAACGATCTGTTGCATCATGCTTTCCATGTGACTCATGCGCTCGGTCAGAGTGTTCACTTCGACCTGAAGAACCGCGCTGGATTCGCTGATCATGTCCCAGCGATCGTCCTCGGCAGCGGCTGCTGCTTTCGGACGAGGAGCAGCTCGGCTCTTGGGTCCAGCTTTCGGTCCTCGGTCGTTCTTGGGGCTGTGACCGAACGGTGGCACAATCAACTCGGTCTCGATGGCCTCGGCTTGCTCCACGACGCGTTCCACATAGCGAAGGAACACCTTGTGGGCATGCTTGGTGCTTTCGGAGAGGTGCTCCAGGCACCACTTCACCCAAGCAGGATCGGTCTCGAGGATTTCCTCGAAACGACGGCCTCGTACCTTCGTTCCAAAGGTGACGGTCAACTGACCGTGCTCCTGCAGACTCATTGCCTCCACCTCGGCCATCGTGTAGTTCAGTGTGGCGTCTGAAAGACGAGCGAAACGATTGGCGAGGCTCGAAGGTGCGGCGCAGGGAGGAGCGTCGGCCATGATCACACCTGAGAGGCGAAGTTGCGATGACGGGAGTGGTTGCTTCAGCAGTCACGGCTGGAGTGTGAGGCGATACATCTTGAACGATCGGCTCGACTGGCGGCTGAAATATCCCCTTATCTTCGGAATCACACACTCCTGAAGACAAAACGTTAACATGCTCCGGGTATTTACGGTAGCTCTCATCTATTGAATTCGATCCCTGGCACACATGTGTGGGCTGTTGAGTTTCTGTACAGATCTCACTGGGTAGGGAATCTAACTTCATGCATGGGCTCACGGGAAGAGCTGACTCACTGGAATCTTCACTTGCACACTGGATTGGCATCTCTGAGCAGCTTTCCTCGCAAAGTCGGGCGAGGTCCAACAGGTACAGACCTGTTGCCCCGGTCTGTAAGGACACTTGCTTTCGCAGGCGCTTAAAATGGCACACATCCCTTGTCGTATCCAGTACACCTCCAAGTTGCTTGATTGCCTTCTTACTGAACAATAAGGGAGTGCGGCCTGGTACGACTTCAACCCCAAGCCACAAAATCTGACAGCCTATGGTCCGAATCGGAAACAAGACCCTCTTATCGCTAGTCAAAGTCTGATTATTCCCGAACCGAAACTTGACTGAGCTCTTAGAGACCCGAACCTGAGATCGGACCCTGCTGTTCAGCTGGCTGAGAAGCTGGGGCAGCAGCGCACTGCCCACTACGCACCGGCTAGCTCCGGTGTCCAGGATTGCTTCGACTCTGGTGGAAGCGGTCAGGGCTACATCAGGCAGGTAGTTACATTCTTCATTTTCAGGCTTTACTCTCCGGTGCAGGGCTTCAGTCCAACACGTTGTCCCAGCGCTTCGCTGCCTGGAGGCTG